TCTTCGTGTATTCAGAAACTCGAACAATTTGGGGGTCACGTTCCTTAATGTGCTCACGCTGGTGGAGGAGCTGAAGAAACTTGAGTACCCGAATAGGGTGGTTATTGCTGGACTAGAATGGATGAGTAGGCGAGAGCCCGCTTCCTTTTGGGCGGGAATGGTAGCTATCTCCCGTGCGTGGCTGGGAGAGAAGCGTGGATCGTGGTGTCTCGAAGGATCGTGGTGGTGACAAAATTGGATTGTGTTTGACATCACTACGTGTGTCACAAGCTTCGGTGCCTGGCTGGAAGTAACCGTTGAGGAGCGGGTGACAGTATTACAACAGGCAATCGGATCATGGGTGACAAAACCACTGAGGGTGGCATGGAGGTATCGCAAGATCCAAACATACAGACGAGAAGAGGCGTTGGGTTCTGGATCCGCTTGGTAGGCTGGTTCGGAGCGAAGTAGCACGAAGTGTAGTGCTGAGAGGCAAAAACACGTATATATAGTAGATAGTAGATGAGGAATCCTCAACTTGAGTGACGTATGAGTGGAAGGGTTGAGTATCCCTGATGGTGTCGGATCAGGGGGTGTGGTGAAGGAATTTGTGATGTCATGATATTAGAGCTCACATCATCGTCTTCGTAATCTTGTATTGTGTTATTCATGTTCTGAGGCATTGTACTAGTACAGACATTGCCTGCGCACCCAGGGTTCAGTCCATGGGTGTTGTATGCTGGCCTAGACTTCACATTGATTGCTGGTTGTTGTTGGCTTTGGTCGCTCTGATGATCTCCCCCAGCCCAGACATTACACACATTATATCTACTTCCTATGGAAGTACATGTGGTAGAACCCTCCAGTTTCATACTGTAGGTCACAGGTTTGAGTCCGGTTTCGGACTTTGGGGGGAGTCCTGTCCTGTCCAGATAGGCCTGTCTCTACCACATACATCCACACACAGAGATACCACCCCAGATAGCACAAATACTATTCACTCACCTTGCATAATATACACTCACCTTGCAGATGCTCCATGGTGGGTAGCAGCGTCTGCTATGAAATGGGGTCCACATACACATAACGAACATACACATAGCCCATGGGCACACATCTAAGATATAGTGTACATATACAAATTCACAACCATAGGGCTGGGAGAAGGTCACGATCAATTGATAATGATGATAGGCCTTCGATGATAAGTATCCCCCTTAATATCAGCTAGGTCTGTGGTGGGTGAGTAGAGTGCGTGAGTCGCTTGTTGGTCTTGATCAACTGATAATGATGATAGGCGTCTCGATGATAAGTGCCCCCCTTAATATCAGCTACACTGTGTGTGGCAGACTAGGGCTGTGGGGGCGAGTAGAGGGCGTAAGTCCACTGGTTGGTCTGGATTAACTGATGATGATGATAGGCGTTTCGAGGATAAGTACCCCGCCTTAAAATCAACTAGGACTGTGGTGGGCGAGTTGAGGGCGTGAGTTACCAGTTGGTCAACTTAGGGGCTAGTAGGAGATTGCTTGGGCCTGGCATCCGAAGTTCCCGTGCGACGAGGCTCGTTCGATTCCGCTTCCACCAGGGCTAGGTCATGGCTAGCCCTTGTGCCCCGGGCCCGTCACTGCTATTCGGTCCAAGTTCCCCTCGATAGGGGCAATGGTCCTGAGTGGGAAAAGTTGTGTTTATGCGCTTTTGTTATTAAACCATAAGTTGGTTTACGTGGGTAGGACGAGTAGACCGCTTAAGGAAAGGTGGGCTGAGCACTCCCGTGCGGTTAATGGACTTAGTAAGCAACATGTCCACAACTGGCTACGGAAGGTTGGGTCTGAGCACTATGTGCCCATTCCTGTTTGGTTTGGGACTGCCTCTACGATCATAGCAATGGAAAGGAAAATTATTGGGAGGCACAACCCTGGTTTGAATATGAATATGAAGGGAATAAGATCCAAGAAGAAACCTCGTCGGTGTTGAGGCCGGAAGAAGTCGAGTGATGGGTCGGTGCCCAACATTAATGAACCTCTGTTTTTTGACTGTGTGTAGATGTTGAGCAGGAACCGAACCTGTTGAGGATCTTGAAATTGTTGACGAAACGTAAGGTAAAGAGGACTGTACTTAGTAACAGCCCAGGAGGTCGTTGGCTAAAGGCATGGAGGCCGGTGGTCTTACTGTTTGGATTCATTAAAATCGAAGTCGGGGGGGTAAAGCTCCTGTTAAAAGATGTTAGATCCGAGATTGAGA